AAGGAGGAACTCCCTGGGGCCAGAAGAGCAGTTCTGCAGGTAGACACGCCCACTGCCAAGCCTGATTGAGCACCATGCCTAGAACCCACATGGTAGACAGAGAAAACCAAATCCCTCAAGTTGTCCACTGACCTCTACATGCGTGTTGTGCGCACACACACACACACACACACACACAAAATAAACATAATAAAAAATTTAAAAGAAAGTGCTCACTGCCCTGAAGGTTACTAGTGTGTCAGTTACAGTGAAGAAAGAATCTGTTATCATCACAGAACTCCTTTACAAGTGTGGTATGTGTGCTTGGAATCGAACCCCCAGCCTCCCACATGCTAAGCTCATATTCTACCACTATATCCCCAAGGATCTTTGAAATGATCCAAATACTGAGAAAAGACCACAGTAAGATTAGAAATGGAAATTTAAATATGTAAACAAACTGAGAAAAAAACCTCAGCACCTAAGGAAATGGATCTTTTTAACTCAGCTACGATAATCTGATTGATCCAAGAATTTGATCGTCAAAATTTCAACCACTCCAACTCAGTTATTGAAAAAGAGTAAGAAACCTTTGAGTTAAAATGTAATAGCACCAATGTAATCTGTACCCAAAATATTAACTGCAAGAAACTGTAAAGTGTTTTCAAATGAATGGAAGTAATTCTAAAAGTGATCAGCTTTGCCCTGTCAGGGAACAAGGAACAAGCAGCGTACAGCTTGAAAGTGAATTTTAGAGTGACTATTTGGGGTTCCATTCAACCAGAAAATTTCCTTTATGGCCCAAATGATTTATTTATTCTTAGATTACCATAAGAAAGCCATAAGCTTGTTTAAAGATAAGAGGGTGTGGGAGCTGTTCCTCATACACACTTAGAAGTAAACTGTGACTGCCTGTGTCTGATATAATCCTAACTCCATGAAACTGAAGATGCCATTTGACTGGACTGTGTGAAATACACATTATTATTATTATTATTATTATTATTACTATTGGTCTTTTTGAGACAGGCTCTCCCTGTAGCCCCGGCTGACCTAGAACTCACTTTGTAGACAAGGCTGGCTTTGAACCCACAGAGATCCACCTGCCTCTTATTATTTAATTCAGCTCCTGTCAAGACAATCATCTGGTAGCCTTTTACCTGCCTTTCCCATGAAGCTACAAAAGGAGATAAACACAAGCAAGTCACCACAAGTCCTGGCCAACCTCAGACCTTGGAAGGAATGGTCTGTCTTCACAGTGTCTCTTACTTCATCGTCCACATGTTCACCAAAGCCCACGCTTTCTGTCTCGTTTCAGTGACCTACTTTTCTCTGCTTTACCTGGGGCCCTGGGGTCACCCCCACTCCAGTCGGGCACTGACACACTGATCCAGCATAGGAGGCACTGAGTCTCAAGGCTGTCCATTCCACCCTCTAGCTCTGTGTGTCTCTGGAGCCACAAGAACATTGTAGTGACAGGAAGTGGCCATCCCAGGGCTTCCTCAAGCCAGAAGTCTACTGTGGTCAGAAGCAGGACACTGATGTGGAAGAGGCACAGACCTCCAGAGGCAGGTCTAGAGACCAGAGAGCCTGGCCTCAGCCTGGGCTTCTTGGAGGCTCTCTGCACTCCCCACTTGGGTTCCCTTTCTTTCCACACCCAGTGAATCTGAGTCCTGTCAGCACTTTCCCAGAATACCCATCTGAAATCCGAAGGAGACTCAACACTACAACAAAACCCTGTCTCCCTCGATAAAGCAAACCTGCCTGAAAGGACAGCTCTTGTGAATTGTGCTGTCTGCTTGCTTTTCCGTGTAGATATTCTTGTGTACGAAGGTTTTTCTAGAATTCTACCACATCTAAAGTGTGGGTCTTCAACATAGAGAATGAAGTGTCCTACAGACAGTAAACACCCAGTATTCTAAACTCGTAGGTAACTCAAGCCTTTTTGTATCACATATATACACAGAAGTGTGATTCGGGGATAAGTTCTTAGCTTGTGTTTTTCAAAAGAGAAACATTCTCACAGCTTATATTTATCTACATTATCTGACAATCTAAAGTCTGAAATTCTGTAAGATCTAAAACATTGCCAGCCTCAACATGAAGCCACAAGGAAACTTCTCCACTGATCTCTTGGGACAGGTATCAGACAAAACAAAGGCAGGCACACAAGAACCATCCCTCCAGGCCTCATGTGCAAAGGGCATATGAAATACAAGTCACCTGGCATGGAGGTACATGCCTTTAGTCCCAGCAATTGGGAGGCAGAGGCAAGCAGATCTCAGATCTCTGTGAGATCAAGGCCAGCCTGGTCTACATAGTGACTTCCTCCAAGTGGGCTGGGGCTTTGGAGACCCTGTCCAAAAAAAAAAAATATGAATCAACTTTATGCTTAGATGCAGGTCCTATCCCTGAGACAGACCATTATGTGTATAAGGATATCCAAAAATCCACAATCATCTGGAATTTTAAACAGTTTTCTGGACTAAAACTTTAGAAAGAAGAAATAATTCAATCTGCATTTTCAAAATTGTCACAAAGAGAATTCAATTATTCATAGTTACTGTTCATGAAATTAGACTTTTCTTTAAGGAAGTCATGATTATTAGCGATAGCTGTGACAGCATACATAAATATTCATATACTTTTAAAGTCACAGTTGTGTTAAGTCTTATACACATTATCCACAGACCTTTGAGAACTAGGACCAGCATCTGGTAAGCAGGTGCAAGCCTGTAAGAGCATCTAGAGTGCAGTGTGGTACCATGTTTGTTGGTGACTTTAAGCCTCCATGAATCTCTCAAGACACTGTGATATCAGGACCTCATTACCACAGGCCATCACGCAAGAAGGGTTCATTCCTTGAAGCACCGAGGGCCAAAACAAGTCCACCAGGGCATATGACTTTGATTCGTGGACCCTGGAAACTGTTACATGCGCCAAGCCTAGATATAAACGACCCATGTGAGATTCAGATTCTGGGACACTAATTGTGTTTTCCAGAGCATTCACGGAGTCACTGGGATTTAACCATTTCAGCATTTTCTAGCATATTCTATTCTACACCAGTGTTTCTAACTACATACTTGGGTTATAAAATGGACTTTTATGACAGAAAATATTATAAATAACTATTAAACTCAAGTAGAGCATGGCATTTGCAAAACTTCAAATATGTCTTATCCTTTAAACATGGGAAGCTCACAGTCCTTCAATGTTTAAAATGTTTCAAAATAAATAGTGTGGGTGACATAGGAATCGTTCCAAAAAGCAAAAGACAAAGGACCCAGAGTTTCATTCACAGGTTAAAGGAATATCCTTTTGAAAAAGTTAGGGTTAGGTCCTCAGCTCCGGGAAAAAAAAAAAAAAGAAAAATTAGATCCCACACCCATTTTAGATAATTTGATCCCCAATGAAATGTGTGTCTTTGTATGTAGTAACATTAAAACGCACAATAACTGAAGAATAATTAACACTCTAGCTTAAACACTCAGAAAAGTGATCCTCAATAATGTATACAAATTAACATGAATGAAAATCAAACTTCCAACTCTCTAAAAAGCTCTAGTGGGGATCTGAGGTTTACTCCTGGTTAAACATGAGCATGGATACATTTAGGTGCCAAATGTGCCCCTTGTTTCAGTCTCTGACGACAAATACTTCCAATGCTGCTCTTTGAGAAATAACAGAATTACACTTTTCTTCCTGTGTTACCTGTTATTTACGTCCCTGTATCTCCCGTTGACTCTGTGCTGTAATAATGGACAGTGGGCAGAAAAACAATACGTGAAAATGGAATTCTACAAAATGTTTTGACTCGGCGACACTCCAGAGCACGGCTTCTTATTCAGTTTTCTTAACCAAACAACTTGGTAGATTAGTTCTTAAAAACCTAGGGACTTCGAGGCACATCTTTTCCTTATGACAAAAAATACCAAATAGCTATAGCACCCCAGATTCAATTTAGGGTTTAACCACTTGTATATCTAAATGTATTTTCTCCTTAGCCACGGGCTGTCTGGATTTGAAGAGATACAGAGCAAGTGAGAGTGAAGTTAGCTGTCATTGATCTTGGAACCCACTAAATCTAACTGAAAGATTGTCCAGTTATAGAACAGTTATGGGAAGACATGGCTGAAATTACAGGAGTCTATTTTACATAGACTATAGAATTCCACCAACATCTACTAGGTACTTAGACAGGAAACATGTTTTCTTTTCTCCTCCAATAATACCTGTTATGGGCCACAAAGCCACTCTAATGAAATCTAGGGAGTATATTCTAGATAACTTGAGTTTTTGAGAGAGGGAGAAAGAATAGGAATGTCATCCGTCTATACACGTCCATGTGTTTGCACATTTCACCCACAGACACCAGCTAGCCAATCCTCACCAGAGCCCCTCACCATGGAGTATGAAGCCTCCATTCCAGACCTTTCTAGACCTTTCCATCCAAGGAAGGAGTGATATGGACCTCTAGAAACTGTAATGCATTGGTGCCGTTTTCCACATTTTAAAACTAGAGGATGATTCCAAGCTGCTGCAGCTGGACTTGGTGGCACACCCTGTAGTCCCAGCACTCAGGAGGCAGAGGCAGGCAGATCTCTATGAGATCGAGGCCAGCCTGGTCTCCATAGTGAGTTCTAGGTCAGCTGGGGCTACAGAGAGACCCTGTATCAAAAAAAAAACAACCTAAAGCTGCTCCAGGAGGGAGAAAAATAGGCTTGAGCTTTAAAACCTAAACTTGGCTGCATCAAAGCTACTTGACACGCTGGGGGCTCATTTCGCACCTGAGATAGTGTTTTCTTTTCTCTCTCGCTGCCCCTCCCCTTTATTTATTTTTGTTGATTTTTTTTTTTTTTTTTTTTTTTTTTTTTTTTTTTAAAAAAAAAAAAAAAAAAAAAAAAAAGAGGACGATGGTAGGCTTGCTTTTCCCCTTGTGCTGCAGGCCTGCATTTTACTCCATGTGATTCTGTAGTTTAAAAAAGGCGGCCTTAACCCCTGTGTTCCTTTGTTCTCAGCTGGTGAATGAACAGCAGGAAAGCAGGCCCCTCCTGAGCCCCTCCATCGACGACTTCCTCTGTGAAACCAAATCCGAGGCTGTGGCGAGGCCAGTCACATCCAACACCGCAGGTAATTCACTTCCAACCGCCTGAAAGTGGACTTCGTTGAGCATATAGATAAATGCATAGCTTCTTTCTTGGGGCATTTTGTTGAGGAAATGAGTTCTTTAACTTTTACATTTATTTATCTGTGTGTGTGGTGCACTGTGGACAACTTGGGAGAGTCACTTCTCTCCCTTCCACTCTGCGGATCCTGGAGATTGTCAGGACTGGCAGCAAGTGTCTTTACCCTCTGAGCCATCTCACCAGCTCCTCCTTCATTTTAAGTGGGGAATGACGTTTGCTACCAAGTGACTTTAGAACATATACAATTCAGCATAAATTAGCCAATCGCTTTTGACTACATAAGAAATTACAGTACATATCCACCCTACCAGTTTTGCTGACATTAAGTGCACTGCTGTTCACAACTAATTTTTTGTGCATATTTCTGTATTTACATCTCTGTACTTCAGATTGCATTGCATTAAAACAAAAGCATCTATTTCAGAGTGAGGCTTTTCAAGTTCTGTTTGATGGCCTCATTATTTCTGAAAATATTTTGTGTAACAGAAGTACGACAAAATAAAACTGTGGTCTTTCTGAGTAGATTTAAATGATAATTAGTGTCCCACAGACAGGATGGTACAGAGCCAGGCTCGTTCTCTGTCAATTAAATGTGTTTCTTTCTCCCTCTTATAAATTATCTGAGTATCATAATGGGTAAAACACTCTTAGAATTAAATTCAAACAGTATACCCTCATCTGCTCAGTGCCTGGCACCCTAGGAATAAGCACTAGGCAGGAATCCATCCAGAGAGTCAGAGCACCCAGACCCTCACTTGTCTGGCGGCCACATCTCCACGTTGACTTCATTTGGTCAACTTTCACATTCAAAGAGCTGTTCAAATAAGAAGGAAAAACATGACGTTTAGAACGGAGGACCAAAGATTGAATCAGATGGGTGGTACAGTGTTTAACAGGAAAAGAAGACCCCGGTCTCATGCCTTCTTGTTAAATTTATTCCATTTTTCTGTCATGGCCTCCACTGACTGTTGGTTTGTATTTTCATTATTTCAAAATAAGTGAAGAAAATCACAGGCACAAGAAAATGTGATGTTTTTCCAAAATGCTTAAAGTTAGTATAGAAAAAGGAACTAATGGCAGGTGAGAGTACAGATCATCTAAGGGTCTGGGGGTCAAATGCCTTGTGTTCTCACCCGGCTGTCCGTGCACAAGCTAAGGCTCTCCCTCACCCATCTAGGGACCATAGCTTCCAGTTTCCTCATCTAATAACAGTAAGATCCTTATCTCATAAATTACTCAGGAAGATTGAATGAAGCCATCTGTGAACCTGCTGGGCCCCTGTGAACTCTAACCAGTGCAACCACTCCTGGCAGATGTCAGGTGGAGACAGTATGCTTGATACTGCCTCTTCATCGCATTAACGTCACACCCCTGCAATTATTTTCTAAATTCAGCTGTCACTTGGGGTACTCAGGAATGTAGAATGGCACTTGGTACATTTTAAACAGGAAATTAAATAAATTCAGGGGCAGTCACATCAGATTCATCCTCCTGAAGCTGGAGTTCAGCACTCTGATCCTGAAGAGTTACCCCAGAGAAGACCAAGAACCTGTGTTTCTTAACTGCAGGCAGTCCCACAAGAATTGAATGCATTAATTATGAAGTTATCTTTACTTTTCATTTCTCTCAGATGAGGACACCAAGCCTGCCCTAGGGACTGGAGCCGTTGTTGGGGAGATTGCAGGGTCAGTAAATATTTGCTGCACAAGCATGAGGACTTGAGTTCAATCCCCAGAACTCAGATAATAAAAAACTAGTCATGTACTTATAATCCTAGCACTGGAGTGACTGGAGACAGGACCCCTGCAGCTTGCTGGCCAGCCAGCCTAGGCAAATCGGCAAGCTCTAGGCCAACCACAGTGCCCATCTCAAAAACAACGTTGACAGGACCTAAGCAATAACACCTAAAGTTGACCTCTGGCCTCCATTTGTACATGAATGCACACCCAAACATACATATGGAGAGAGAGAGAGAGAGAGACAGAGACAGAGACAGAGACAGAGAGAGAGCAGATTTAATGCAAGAACTATTCTTCACCTTGATTTTCTAACCTGTGGAAGAGGCCTGTGACACATAAGAAGGGCCAATCTCATGCAGTCCCAACACCTCCACTGTTGGCCCCTGCCTTAGCTTCCCAGGGAGGTGGTTACAAAGCACCTGCCAGAAGCTCATAGGAAAATCAACAGAGCCCAGAAGCTCTAAGCGCCAGGTCAAGGCATTGGCCCAGCCAGGCTCCCTCTGCAGCTTGGTCCAAGACTTTCTAGTCCTTTCCCCTGTCCCTTGGTTTGTGGCAGCTAACCCCAACCTCCACGTGATGTTGTGACCATGTGCCCATCTCCCAGCCTGTACCTCTGTGTCCAGATTTCCCTTTTAGATGAAAATATCTGTCACTTTGGAATGTGGCCTGGCCCCTCCAGGGCAAACTTTAATCACATTTTCAGTGAGGTCACCTGCAGTGTTGGGACTTCATCATAGGAGAGAGGCATGGAGCACAAGTCAGTCCCTAACATGACTCTCCATTCAATCCGTCTGCTGGACACAGATTTTCATCCTGAAAGGACTCATGTTTGACAATCTTACAAATATGTCTCAAGGCAAAAACATATTTTTAAATCCATAAAGAATGTAGTTCTTATAGGAATCAATGCAAAGTAAACAATGTGAGAAGTATTTTTCTAAAGTGGTGAAATGATTTTTTTCTCTAACAAACCCTTAATGGAATTTTTATTATAATTTTTTGTATTTAGTATTTTTATTTTATATGTGTGAGTATATTGCCTGCATGTATGTAAGTGCACCCCTGTTGTGCAATGCGTGTGGAGGTCAGAAGAAGGCTTCACATCCCCTAACTGGAGTTAAGGACAGTTGTTAGCTACCATATGGGTGCTGGGAATCGAACTCGGATTCTCTGGAAGAACACCAAGTGTTCTTAACGACTCAGCCATCTCTCCAGCCCTTTATAATCATTTCTAAGTATTTCACTGTTGTGGAGTTTCTGATTCTTTCTATTTTGTTATCTAATGACGACGACTCCAAGCTGATGGTTCCTTTGTGTTTCCCATTCATACCTTAAATTCTCCTGAATTCATTTGTAGTCAAGGTAAACAGCTACTTCCTTTGCCCTCTCAAACCACATCCTTGGATAAGCTAAAATAATTGCTAATATCCATGATTTTTTGCAAGACTAGAAATGGACCCAGAGCCCCATACACACTGCACAAGTGCTTCTCCACTGAGCTGTATTCCCAATCATCTTTCTATGTTTAGTTTTTTAAAATGAGGTCTTATTAAGTTGCCCAGGTTGGCCTTGAACTCACCCTGTAGCCCAGGAAAGTTCTGACTCTTCTACTTCTCGAGTAGCTGAGATTGCAGGTCATTCTACCAGGCCCAATGAAAATCTTCGGTTTTAAAATGGCGGGTACATAGAGATCCCATGCAAATCAATACAGTAAATTCTCTGCAAGTAACTAAACAATAGATGTGATGCATTACACCACAAGTAATTGATAAAATTTGCAATAGCATCTTGTTCTATAATTTAACAACTCAAATATATGTTAAAGCACAGGACAAATGTTCCACATAATTTCCAAAATAGAAGCAGGTGTCCTTGTATGATTTATGAAGCTACATAGTCTAGAAGCATTTCATCTACGAACTTGAGCCATTAGACAGTCAATTGGAAAGGAGCCATTTCTCATGGTTGAAAATTTTTATAGCTTCTTTTATTTGGAGTTTGTATGCCTATATGTAAGATTCTTACTTATAAGCCACCTAATAAAATAACCTAACTGTAAAATTAGTATAAGGTTACATAAGGATACATTTCTATGAAACTTGAATGATCCTTGAGCTGGTGACGTCTCAAGAGAGCTTAGAAATCTGAGGGGCAGATTTAATGGCACATCCCGATAGAAAGAACAGGTTGGTTGAATTAATTAATACAGTTTATCTACGTGGAAGTTTCTGGCATTGCCTATTTAAATCATGTCTCGTTATGTGATAGCATCTCATAGTCTGTCTACCACCAAGGTATCCAAGCAAGACTTCTTACAAGGTGCTACTCTGTTCTGCCTTGAGCAACCTGACTTCCCAGGGCCAAGAAGACTAGTGTTTCTATACGTTCGCAGTGGTCTGGGGGAGCCTTCCAGTTCCAGACTGTCAATCTCAGCTGCCCTGGAGATAGTTAGGAACAGCCACTTTCACAGAGTGTTATCTTCCACAGTCCAGTAATTCCATCCAGTGGAATTCAGTTATCCACAAAGATAGTTTCTAAGGTTGTCATCTGTTTAAGTCTGCCTCAGACTGTGCAGATTTCCAAGTAATCAGGAGCTGAAGAAAAAATACACCATATTAAAAGTTTGCACACTGCCTCTAGGTTCAGGTGGTGTCTAGGTAGGAGTGACAGTCTGTATTTGAGTCTCAGCTTGAACACCAACACATCAGCTGAATTAGCATCTTACCTCAGCTCAACCGTAACAAGGCACCACAAATGCAGTGTCCTAAAACAACACGATTTTTTTTTATATTAAAGTTCCAGAAGTCAGAAACCCTCTGATCAAGATGTCATCAAGGACCCATTCCTCTGCAGACCCTAGGAGAGAGTATCAATTCTGCTTTCCCAGCTTTTAAGAGGGCATCTGTCATTTTTGGCTTATGGCTTCTGCCTCCATCCTCAAAACCAGCTTCATCTCAAATTCACCCTCATATCCCCTTCTCAGACAGAATCTTACCTCCCGGCTTTCCCCTGTGAGGCCACTTAGACAGTGGAAACTCACAGCCTGTGATCTGTAAGTATAAGTGGGCTACACATCTGGGAGTAGGATTATACTTAAAAGATTGGATCTGCACTCTTACACATATTATACACATATGAATATGCCCTCACATGCATGTGCCATCATACACACGTGCCCTCACAGGCACTATAAGAAGAAATTACCCTCTTTGAGCACAAATATACTGGAAACTAAAGTGTCTAAGAGACACTTTTAATTGAATCATGAAAGTCAGCAAAGCACACACCCCCTCTCATACTCAGGCACGCTCTCTTTGAAACACTTGGACAGCAGTAAGATCCTTGTTTCTAAGTCTTGACTACCACAACCCCCCGCACTAAAATATACCATCTCCTCCAGAAGTCAACAGCTACCCCCAGCCTTGTCTGTTTTCAAAATCGTCATCCTCGGGCACTGTCAGCTTCAAGGCTTGCCATTAGACCTCCAAAACACTTCTTCCATCAAATGGGTCTCAAGTAGAGCCTTCGGGTATGCCAAGTTCTGGTTTCACATTTACAGAGAAAAGAGCAAAAGAGAGAGGACACAGAACCCTGGATACCTGAGTGGAGCAAGAATGAATCTGAGCAGGCTTGACTATTCGGTTCCCTCCTTTAATTCATTGTGGCTCTAGATTAAATTGGCCCACTAGTTATACATTGTAGCAAATGTACTTTCAATATGCAAGTTGGTGTTTCTTCCATCACAAGGAACTCACATTGTTTCCAAAGCCCTTGCCAGCCTCATAGTATTGAGAAGTTTCTACTTAGCCCCTCAGTGGGTAGAAAGTGTGTGGAGCCCTAACTTGGCTGTCTGTCATGCTTAAATTTGACACATAAAAACAGGCACCTCATCACTAGAGGCCCCTTCTCACCACCCACCTTCCAGGGCTTCTCACCCCCCAAACCCTCCTCCCTGAGAAGCTTCCTGTTAGACAGGAGCTCCCACCAGCCAAGGAAACGCAACTGTGACAAGCTGACACCTTCTGGCTGGTCCACAATAGATTCACTCCATAGAGTCTAGAATCTTCCGTAGAAACAAAATCTTTACCTCTTTCATGTCCTGTCTCTGTTTTACTTATTGGTATACCCCTTCTTTTGATCATTGTGTGGATTTGATTGTGACCTGAAATAAACAGGTAAGAGGGGAACAGGAGAATATCAAAAAAGGGAAAGATTGCTCAAAAATAGAAAGTACATCTTTGTGTGTGGAGCTCTAGGGATCAAACCCAAGGCCTGGGGAATGCTAGGCAAGCTCTCTAGCACTAAGCTCCCTCCCTCCTGCCCAGAAATAACATTTGCTGATATCTACCAGTAAGTCCAGCACAATAGGTTAGATCATTTAAGCCTCATCACATACGTAAGGACTGTGGATTTACAGATGAGGAAACTGGAGCTCAAGCTCCTCAAGAAACTTAACACAGCTGAGCAACTAGAGCCGCCCTTGGAAGCCGAAAGCTGGGGTTCAGGGCTCCCTCACACATCAGAGAATTCTCTGAGCTCATGCATGCCTGCAGTCTGGCTGTGTGCACAGAAAACCTCCTGAGGAGCAGGCAGGCCAGCAGGGGGTAATGGAAGGGGGTTGGACCATCATCAATGCACGCCTGTTCTCAAACCAAAGAACAAGCAGGAAAGTGCAGCAGGGGTCACTTAGACTGTGCAGGGGCAACACAGAGCTCTACACAGCCTTGGCTTTCCTAAGCTGGGGGAAGAGTCCCAGGCTAGGAAGCTACCAGGCCTGCACATCACTAGACCTGCACCCAAGGCCCTGCCCGCACCCCAGCCCCGGCCCGCACCCCAGCCAGCCTCTGCAGCACTGAAGTGAGGGGGCTTCTGTCCTTTGTTTTCTGTTCCTCTCCATGACCTAGTCAGGCTTTGCTTTGGAACAAATTATTATTTCTGCCTTCCTTATAGTATTTAATACATTGTAATCAACCTTCTTGGAAGTAACAGCGTAACCGTTTTATAGCTGGTTACATTGGAATTAAAACCTGCATATTAAACAGCAAAGGCATTAGCATGCACCTGTTCATCACCTGGATTATAAAACCCCCCTGCATGAGAGCCAAACGCCATGCGTTTTAAGAGCAAACTGCTTAATTAACTAAAAGATGGCTGCCAGCCTTCCTGCAGACCAGGACACTTTGCTGCTCAAAACGAAAGACATCTGGAAAACACACCCAACCCATGAACATGGATGACTGACCGTTTCCTGGAAAATCCACATGTAAAGTAAATCTTCCCTAGAATTAAGCAAAGCAATAGAACTCAGATTGGGTTTATCGTCCTCTTTTCATCCCGGGCCTCCTCGCTGCAAAGGCGGCCTAGGGGATTCCCACCTGCATCAAGCCCAGGGGAACCTGCAGCCCCGCCCGAGTCTCACAAACTGCCTCCACCAGCCAATGGTGGGCCAGCCTGACTTGCTGACTCTACCCATCCTGTGAACACAGGGGCTCTGCACACCCAACAGCCACACCTATTTTAAAAATCACTGCAGAGCCTTGGAGAGAAGGCTCAACTGGTGACGTGCTTGGCTTGTAAGCAAGAGGCTCTGAGTTCTGTCTCCAGATCCTAGGAAGGAGAACAATTACCAGGATGGTGCACATTTGTAATCCCAGTCCTGAGGAGGCTGAGGTCAGCCAGCCTAAGACCAGGGAGACTCTGTCTCCAACACATCTAAAGGTGGCGGGCATCCAAAGAACAGGGCCTAAGGTTGTCTTCTGGCCTCCACACGCACACGTACCCCCACCACACACATGTACATACACATGTGTACCCCCACCATACCACATGTACCCACACACACATACCCCCACCATACCACATGTACCCCCACCAAATACTCATACCCCCACCACACATACCCACACACACGTACCTCCACCACACAAGTACACACACACATGTGTACCCCCACCACACACACATGTATTCGTGCCACACCACATGTACCACACATGTACCTCCTCCACACAGGTATATACCCAAGACACACATGTGTACCCTCACCATGCCACATGTACCCCCCCATATACATACCCCCTCCACACACAGGTGTACATCCATGACACAGGTGTATCCCCACCACACACTCATACATACACATACCACACAAATGAATGTAATAAATAAAAACTACAGAAAGCAAAGGACTCCTCTGATCCTCTTCTGTCTCCCGTAGTGTTGACCACTGGCTTGGACCTCCTTGACCTGAGTGAACCTGTCTCTCAAACCCAAACCAAAGCCAAGAAGTCTGAGGCCTCATCCAAGAGCTCATCCCTAAAGAAGAAAGCTGATGGGCCCGACCTCATCAGTGCAGATGCTGAGCAGAGGACCCAGACTCTGCGGGGCTCTGAGACCTCATCCTTAGATCTAGGTAAGCAGAGGTTCCCAGCAGCCCTTGTCCTGTTGGTGTTGACATGGCAGGAACATTCCCAGATAAATTTAGGAACGTGAACGCAGGAGTAGGAGACATGGGGGGGCGGGGGGAGAGGCCAGGGCAGAGCTTCTTTTGGGCATGGGCCGAGCCACAGAGAGTTCAGGTTTGTATCAGTATTGATTCGTTTGTTTAGGGGTTCCTCCCCCATGTGATGGCTACCAGGCCCTGGAGTTATGGATTAAAGTAAAGGGTGTAGCTCGCTCTCTGGGAGCTCTCAGTTTAGAACAGGAGAGAACAAACAAGAATCACAGCATCCCTGGAGACAGCCAGGCAACACAGTAGCCTTCAGCTGGCCTGAGGACACGTTCAAGATGAGGACGCTAGCTATTGATACCGTTCAGCGTTGGCTTGCCATGGCCAGGGCTACACTACATGACATACATGTTTCATCTCCACATGATTACAACTCTGAAATATGTGAAAGCCTGGTATTAAATTTTAACTCGTCCAAGATACACAGTCAGTTAGAGAAAGCTCTGGAGTAGTTGACTTCCAAGTCTATGTTTTTTAAAATATTTATTATTTTATTTTCTGTACATAAGTGTATTGCCTGCATTGTATAAGTGTACCCATGTCCTGCAATGCCCGAGGAGGTCAGGAGAGGGTTTCAGATTCCCTGGAACTGGAGTTAATGATCGTTGTTAGCTGCCGTGTGGGTGCTGGGAATTGAACGTGGGTCTTCTGCAAGAGCAGCCAGTGCTCTTAACCTCTGAGCCATCTCTCCAGCCCCAAACCCATGTTTTTATCTATAAACTCTGCACCATCCCAAGAAAGGACAGCTTACTCCTCAACTCATGCGACTAGGCAGATCAATCTCTTTTCTCAGGAGAAAGAAAAGTGGCAGGTACTCAAGAAGGTCGTTTATGTGCATGTGTGTGTGAGCACCTGTGTGTCACCTACATACACATATATCCATAAAATGAACTCCTGAAATCAACTCAACTGGATTGCTTCAACTATGAAACCAATTCAGCTTCCCTTAATATATCTCACTTTTGGGGCCGGAGAGATGGCTCAGCAGTTAAGTACACTGACTGTTCTTGCAGAAGACCCGGGTTTGAATCCCAGCACCCACACGGCGGCTAACAACTGTCCATAACTCCAGTTCCAGGGAATCTGACACCCTCTTCTGCCTTCCACAGGCATTGCACAACACAGGTGTACTTACCTACATGCAATCAATACATGCAGACACATGAAATAAAAATAGTAAATAAAATATTTTTTTAAAAATACATCTCACTTTTTGTTTTGCTGTGTGTTTTATCCATTTTCACGCCACACTAAATAAGTAAACATTGGCCTTGGTTCTTGCAAGTGTGAATTGAGTTTGTTTGGACACCACGCTCAAGCCTAATGGATCTCTTTTCTCTGTGCACCTCATGGGCTCCCCTGGGCCCCCCTCCTCTGTTTCCTCTTCCCCGGTAGACATCCAAACACAACTGGAAAAATGGGATGATGTCAAGTTTCATGGAGATCGAACAAGCAAGGGCCATCCCATGGCAGAGAGAAAATTGTGCTCATCTAGAACCGGATCAAAGGAGCTCCTGTGGTAAGATGTCTGAATTCCAGAGATGAGCCACTTAAGCATCTGCCGTGTGCAGAAAAGGACCAGAATGGCCAGTGAGCTCCATCAGTCCCCATCCCCGGGCCATGGGAATGAACTGTATGTTGTTGCTTCTACAAATTAGTCCAACTGAACTGTCAACTCCTCAAGCCTGTTCAGTCATAAGAATTTGAGGAGGCTCTGGTTCAACATTTATTGATAATTTTCTGAATGTGCAGCTGAGTTATTCGTCAAGAGAAGTGTGTATATTTGTGTGAGTGGGCTCAATGTAGTGTTACAGCAAGCATCGTTGTTTCTGGTTACAGAGGATTTCCCTGGCTTTCACAATCCTTCACTGTCATATGGTACAGTAATTACAGATAATCAGTGGAGACTCATGAGAGAATCTAGCCATCTGAGTTTTTTCTCTATTTTAAAGATTCCGAAAAGGCAGCTTCCTGTTTGGGTTGGCTGTGGTCCTTGTGCACCTCCGCCTGCATGAGCTACTTTATGAGCTGTCTCCCACAAAAGCAAGACACTGCTTTTTCATAAAAGTGGAATTTCCTACTAGAAAAAAATACAATAAAATAGCATGGCATCCGTATGCTCTTTGTCCGTAGTTCAACGGAATCCTAAGTTAATCAAAAAAGATTAGAACTAGCAAGTTGGATACAGCCACTTAAATTCTGGATGTGGTCATAATAACAGACACAGACACTGGAATTCTGACGAGGGGTTTGTGTGGTTCTCAGTGGTCCAGGTGAACAAGGCAGGATTTGAGCTGCATCTGTTCTTGGTGTGAGTGAATTTCCTTCATGTCCACCGCAGGTCCTCAGAACACAGATCTCAGCCAGAGCTGAGCACAGGGAAGAGCATCCTCAACCAAGAGTCCACTTCCGAGTTGGAACTAGTAGCTCCGGCACAGGTAACAAACCCCAGTCTTCAGTGAACCCAGTCTGTTCTGGCAGAGAATGTGTCGTAAATATTTTATTTAAATTTTGCACAGAAAGTTTGAAGTGTTTTTCTTAACTTTGCATTGCAAAGTGTGTTCTCACGTCGTTGCTGGCTCGGTGCTTAGAATAACTGATTGTATGCACGTCCCTGTCTTTGGCTGGAGAACGTGCTAATGAATTCACTGTGTGCTTAGCACTTCCTCCTGGTGCTGCTGTAGACTATCCCATTATTTGGCAATATGAAAATCTGTTCTGTTCCAGTATTAACACTGCTTCTAGAACAGAACAGAAAGAAGAGGAAGTTACATCTCGAGTATTCATTCACATCTGCGCCCTGTGGAGTAAGGTGCTGTACACCAGTATTCTGCACTAAAATAAAGTGCATGCCAAAGGTCATGCTGTTCTGTTAGCAGTGATCCATCAAGCTGCCACTGTGGGCACCCACGGAGCCTTGGGATTCACTGGGCTTTTCTTATGTTACATCTCAGGCTCCAACAATATTATATATTCCTGTGAGCTGCATTTTAAGATGTTTTTATGTGTATAGTGTTTTGCCTGCATGTCTGTATGTGTACCACATGCATGCAATGCTCATAGAGGCCAGAAGAGGGCATCAGATCCCCTGGAACTAGAGTTAGGCAGTTATGTTAGCTGCCACATGAGTGCTGGGAACTGATCCCAGGTCCTCTGTGAGAGTATCAAATGTTCCTAACCACGAGCATCTCCATCCCCTGTGAGCTGCATTTCAAGGTGCTCCTCACAGGTGCACCCCCATTTCAGTGAGGTCAAACGTCTCTCTGGGCATAATCACTGGAGGAAATGGGATGTGAGCCACGTCTGCCTGTCCACTGCTTGGCCTCAGCTGCAGCACCTCACACAGACAGCTGTCATCCCCACGGGTCTGAGAACACCAAAGCCAGTCTCCGTCTTTCTAGACCTTGACAGATTTTTAAGGTCTTGCCCTTCAACTGCAAAGATCTAAGAAGTTTGTGTGCATTCTGCAGTCTTGCTGAAGTGAGACTAAATGTGTAAAGGTATTAAGTGGAGGGACTAAGCTTCCAGAAGAAGTGCTCTTGATGTTGCTAAATAGCAGGTGGAGACTGACAGGGGACACGAAAAGCTGAAGTGAAATAAAGGGACACTTGGGGCTGGAGAGGTGGCTCAGCGGTTAAGAGCACTTGATGCTCTTGCACAGGACTTGAGTCTGGTTCCCAGCACCCACCTCAGGTGACTCACAACAGCCAGCCTGTAACTGCAGTCCCAGGAGATCTGATGCCCTATCTGGCCTCCACAGGTACCAGACTACACATGTGTGTGTGTGCACACACACACAAATAAATAAATAAATAAATAAATAAATAAATAAATAAATAAAAGGCATGAAGAAGATATGTGCACATCCTGCACAGCCACAAACCAAGTGGCTATATTCAAATTAGGCTGTTCTCATTTAAATATGTAAATTAAAGATTTGCATAAAATTTTAAAGTGGCATAAATCTTTTTAAAAATGAAGGAATAATTATAATAACAGTAAATATTGTTGCTAACTCTTGAGTAGAGCTGTAATACCAGTCAGTTCATTTGATGCTGACTAAAGGCAGAATAAGTAGTTTCATCACCGCCCCTTGTATAGACAGCAGAGTGAAGGAGTTTACTGTGGACCCACAACTACAAAGTATCAAAGAAAAGGGCTCAGAGAGGAAGTGATGAGGCTCCAGAACCTTCCTAAGCCACCAACAGCTCCCTCCAGACCCCCACCCTCGGGAGGAAGGACGCGGCTGTTCTCAGACCTCAGCTGGACAGCCAGCAGACTAACCTCCTGAATAAATTGCCCACAAACCTTAATGAACTGCAAATGTAACATGAAAAAGAAATGTTTCTTTTTGTGCTCATTTGAAATGTGTCTTCTTTGAAGAAAAGCCACAGCACTTATTAGAAAAGCATTTCTTCATGAGTGCATTAGAGTTCAACTCAGCTGCAGTAATCAGTGCTGTTCCATGCACGGATGTTCCTGGAACAGTGAAACACAGCAACAAAGTGTTTTTTCCGGAGCAGGATAAGAGTTGGCACAGTGGGTCTACTCTACACCAAGCTGGGCCAGAAGAACAGCTAGGGTCCCTGGTTACCATAGAAACCCATAATGCATTTATCTTATTATCCCAAGGACTGCTAGTCTCCTGCTGGTCAACTGATTTTGTCCCACCACTCTGTCCTGCTTACCCACAGCGTGCCTTACCGTAAGCAAACATGATGTGCTATAGAAAATTGGTTTGAGGGTTCTCATGTTGTCTTCCAGAACACAGCTTAAAACGCATGGTGAGAGTCTCTGTCCAGGTCCATCCCAGTGAGTCCTCTGAAAGGGGGAATTATGTGTCAAGGATTTACCATCTCTATTTTTATTAACATTGAATGTTTATTTATCAAGAATCACCTTAGAAATCATATATGTGCTTTTAAAAATTCTAATCCGTAGTTAAATAGGAAAGGTTTCATGAAATCCATATTTAATACTCTATCTGAAACACAGAGTCACTGAAATAGCATCAAAAGAATTGACAGATCCCACTATGTGTAAAGAAAAATGGAAGGAGGTTGCTGGGGAGGTGCCTCTTCCGTGAAATGCATGGGTGATGAGGACCTGAGTTCCAGCCGGACACCAATGTAAAAAGCCAGGCGTGGTGCCACATACCACAATCCCAGGGCTGAGGAAGTGGGAACAGGAAGATCCCTGGGGCTTTTGGTCAGCCAGACCATGTGAGAGATGTCTCAAGGACCAAGGTGGATAGAACCTGAGGAGCAACACTTACGGTTCACCTCTGGCCTCTACATGAACACACTTGCACACACATGTGCCCACATGTACATGCATACATATACACACACAAAAGGAAAGATTTTTGTACTGTTAGACGCTCACTACTCATCGACCATGACCTCTTTATGTAGGCACAGTAAAATTATGATGAAGGTTGGACAAAATTTCAACTTAAAACTGAATTGCAAATCATTGAAACAAACTGTTTCGACTCATCAGAACTGGCTCCACGCTCACCCAGATGGTTCACAGGAAAATCAAGAACCATTTTCTTTTCCCTCAAGCCAACATAGATTATCCTAGGCAGTGACTCAACAGGTGTGGAGCTATTTACAAACCTGTTTAAAAATCATATTTCAGAGTCACAAAGAAAATGGGAGCTTGTCATGTGAAAACGTATGTGTTTTTCATTTTCTTTTTAAGATGGAGAAAGGGAAAGCATAGTATAATGTCAAACAGTGCCTTGAATACCAAAATCAGGGGACAGAAGAGCAGTGGGTTATGTAACCTGTAAATGTGTAAGGGCACAGTTCTGGGCATGTATGCAGACTGTGTAGTTACCATTCCCTAGACGTACCTGTTTAAAGAAATCACACAATCTGAAAAGTAAAAATAGAAGAGTTGAATAAAACACACAAAGGAAGGATGTAAAATTTCCCTTTCCCATTGATGGGTCTGAGGTAGCCGGTGGTGAAGCCCAGGGGGGAGAACACAGCTTCTCCAGAAATGATAGTTCGAGCATTTCCTTCCCAGTTCAGGCACTGTGTGGGGGGCTCTGAGGTGGACTCCTGCAAACCTCAGACTTCACATCAGGTGCTGCTCTGCAGCGTGCACTCTGGACACTGTCACCATCAGGTAACTCTCAGGCAACCTCAACTTCAGAGCAGAGCCTTCTCCACATAACACTGCCCTTCAGTGAGGAGGTAATGTAAGACTGTGTTTCTCATGTATTATGTGAAATGGTCATGGTAGCCTTGGAGTTTGTGTTCTCTCCATGTCACATGAAAAAAATAAGAGTAGTTTTCTTAAAGTTGCATATCTGAGGAAGAAAGGGGCCTGAATTCAAGTCTAGTCACACCCATCAATTTCCAAAGCCCTGGTTCTTAGCCACAGAGCAGCCCGTGGCATCAGCCATCTTGTGCTGCCTCTCTGAGCTAGCTCATAAGCCAGCTGTTGCTCTTTTCATCACAAAGGATGATTATTACCTAACTCTGAGGGGTTAGTAAGAGTAAGTAATGTTCGAGTCCTTGTTATTTTCTTCTAGAAAGTTCTAAGACAAATTAGAATTTTCTTAGGACTTGTCACCACACACAATTCATTCTCCCAAATTCACTCTCAGACCCTTACTTTTAGGAAAACTATTGGCTTCCATCTCAGTTCAACCAATACGATCATTATGTCTGCTGTCCTTTGAACCACATGTGAGGTGGTGAGTATGCTACATGAGCTAGGTATAAGAGATACTGGAAGGAATCCAAGATGGCACATGCAGAGATTCATAGTGACTGAAACACCACTCAAAATAATCAAGGTACAGAGTCAGCTGACTTTCCATCAGCAGTCAAATGGATGAAGAAAATGGGGTCCGTATACATCATGGAATATTATTTAGCCATTAAGAAAAACAAAACTATGCCATTTGCAGGAAAATTGAAAGAGATCATCATGGTAAGTGAAATAAGGCAGGCTCAGAAGATGGACACTGAATTTCTTCTCTCGTTTCCAGAATCTGGACTTTGAAAAAGTAACGTCCAAAAGAAGAGGGGAAGAGAAAGGAGGCCAGTGTGGGGGTGAAGGGAGAGACGGGACTGGGTAATAGAAGAATGAGATCGAAGGACAGATATAGAGACCAGAGACACCGCTCAGTGGTTAAGAGCACTGGCTGCTCTTGCAGAAGATCCAGGTTCAACTCCCAGCACCCACCTGGTGACTAACAGCCATCCATAACTCCAGTTCCAGAGGGATTTGATGCTGTCTTCTGGCCTCTGTGGGCATTGCACAACACAGGTGCACTTACAAATATGCAGGCAATACACACATACACATAAAAAAATAAAATTTAAAAAATTAAAAAGTATGAAAATGAAGCCCATTATTCTGTGCAATAAACGACACTAATGAAAACATTCAGGACTGACTGAATTAACTAACAAAA